AACAGGCAAAACCCGCCGGTGTCTTCGATGGCGGGGCACTTCATCCTTTCGCCTGGTGGCGACGTGGGTTGCGTCGTGCTGCCGAGGGGCGTGGCGGCTGGGCCGCATGCGCATGGCGGCAGTCTGGTGGGCTTCGCGGGCATGTGTGTGGAGTGGTATGCCGGGGTGAACCCACGGGCGTTGTCCCCTTCTTGTAGGCTCGGTCGCAGTCTCTCCCGATTCTCCATGTTGCTCCGGATGAAAATTTTGATCCTTTGGACCGGGTGGTGACAGCTGTCTAGTGTCGTGTCCTTCCTGAAGGAACTACCTTGGAGTTCACGGTTCATCAGGCGGTCAACCGCGTTCTTCACGATAGCTTGCTCTCGGTGGAGGGCTCCGTGATCTTCGTAGTGATGCTTGTTGTATATCTGTTGTTCACTTCGAGTTGGCTTCGCTGATCTCCGACACCTTTGTATCTTACTTTAGGTGTGTGTGTTTGGGTGCCGTGTTGTATGGTTAGGATGCATGAGGGTCATTGCTTTCATATATACAGTGGCGCAAAAGCCTTCTTTGGTAAAGTCCACCTTAATATAAAATCATGAATTATTTTTTTTATAATTATGCAATATTAATTATCTATTCATCTTCAATTATGGCAGTACAACGAACATCGGAAATAATAAAAAAATATTCAGATCTATAGACCACCTAGCGACGCTACAAGCACTGAAGCGAGCTGAAGGCACGCTCTCATCATCGCCCCTCCATCATCACATATATTTTTTCTATAATTATGATATTTATATTCAATCAATATCTCACAACTATTCAATACAAAAATACAATAAATAATACATATGTTTGGTTTCAGTTTATATTTTAATTTGAATATTTATGTTCCAGCCAACCCAATCTCAGTGAATATACTGTAACCAATTTCTGTAGCAACCTACGGGGTATAATCCAATTACTCATACAGTTATTACTCACCAAGTATCCTTCAACTCTTTCAATCTGAACTCATTATTGCCGCAGGCTGTTGCGTATGAGCTTTTCTTTGTAGTGCATTCCATGTTCTTATTATACGAGAAATAATAAAAAAACATGTCCCTAGCTGCGCACGTCTCTGCTGCGAAAATATAGGACCGGCTTAACTAGCGAACGATCAGCCGGGAAGCATAGCAATTGCGGAGGATTTGCATGACAATTTATATTGGCTTATGAAAGCAAGTATAGTTGGTAAGTATGACAATTCCACATCAGTTCAGTTTTTTACCAAGTATATTTGCCATCCTCACGACAATATATATTGCCGCAAAAAAACGTTCAATTTGCCATCCCCTCCCGGCGAACGTCAGCTTAATAGCATTACCATGAAATGTAAACTAATTTATGTCATAAAAGTTATACCATTGAAAACCTCTTATACTCCAAAAAAATGATTAGGGTTTCTCTACCTCCCGCCGGCACCACCGCTAGTCCGCCTCGTCTCCGGTGGCCTTAGGGCCATGGGGGCGGGGTGGATCCCGACCCTTGCCGGCGGGATGGCTCCGTTTTTATATGTTTCTTCAATTTTTGTTAGGGTTTATTTTCTCCCCAGGAAGACGAGACGGCGGCGGCTCCCTGAAGATGAAATAAGGTTCTCCCCGCCTAGCCCCCATCCTGGTGGCGCATCTAGCATCATAGTGAACGTGTGGAGGTGTGTCTTTGGTGGATCTGCTCGGATCTGGTCGTCGTTCGTCTACGTTCGTATGGCTTCAGGTGCGCTGGTTCTATGGGGCCTTAGGACGACGATTTTCCGATTGTCTATTACAACAAGTTTTTTCCGACTCCGGCGAGGGAGGGACGTTGACGGGCATTCGGCTCGCTTTAGTGCTCTAGGTGGTCTACGCATCTAGATGTAATTTTTATTATTTCTGATGTTCGTTGTACTGTCATGATCGAAGATGAATAGATCAGCAGTTTTCTCGGGAAAAAAAACTCTTTAGAATAAGTCAGACATCTCTATACTTTTTGTGGCACATATTTTATATTTCGTTAGTCAAATATATAGATGGTTATACGATGGGACCTAATAAATCCGAATGGAGTGAGTACTATTGTATGTAACAGCACTACACCTGGTACGGTGATACCTTTGGGACAACGCAAGGGGGCCTTCCGAACCATGGATATATCCAAGTTCGCGTGGGCACTACGTACAGGGGAGTTGGGTATATACGTGAAGATTCAGATTTTTGTCGTGCAAATCCTGCGAGTCGGACAAATGTGGCATGTTTATCTCCTTTGTTGCCAAGCGGCCATGCACAACACCTGGCTGAACCGTTCGTGCACGCAGTCAGCACGGGTGATGGATGGACGTGCGTTTGCAGCTCTGCGTACTCCACAACACATGCATCCACGCCTAACTCTTGCCAAGCTAACTAAACTGGCTTCTCCATCACAAGCAACACATGCATGCCGCCTATAAATACTCCTCGCCGGCGGCGCTTGGTCTCCATCGGCTTCATCACTTGTACGCTTCTCTTAGCGACTCCTACTCCTACGACCAAACTCCACGCTACAAACCAGGCCACGTACGTACAGTGCCATCCAATCTTCACTCTTGCGTTTCCCCTTTGTCTCTAGCTGCTTCACATGGCGTCGTTCATGGCGGCCGTTCTGGTCCTGCTGCTCTTGGCATCCAGTGCACGGGCGAGCGAGGCCGACCCGGCGCCCGCTGAGACTCAGCAGAATGTCTTCATCGTCGACAACTACGGTGCACGTGGCGACGGGAAGCACGACGACGCGCAGCCGCTCGCCAAGGCGTGGAACGCGGCGTGTTCCTCCTCCCGGCCGGCCGTGCTGCTCGTTCCCGAGGGCAAGACCTACCTGCTCAGCTCCGTCACCCTCTCTGGCCCATGCAAATCCAGCGTCGTCTTCATGGTCAAAGGCACGCTGGTCGCTCCACGGAGCAGGTCGGCGTGGAGCCAGAACGACACAAGTCGCTGGATCCTGATCCAAGGCGTCACCGGACTCACCGTCTCCGGTGGCGGCACGATCAACGGCAACGGCGACGTCTGGTGGACCAACTCATGCAAGGTCAACAAGGCTCTGCCGTGCACCAAGGCGCCGACGGCCCTCACGTTTCACCAGTGCAACAATCTGCAGGTGGAGAACCTTAAGCTAGTAAACAGCCAGCAGATCCATCTCTCGGTCGAGGACTGCAGCGGCGTGCAACTGGCCCGCCTGTCCATCACGGCGCCCGGCACCAGCCCCAACACCGATGGCATCCACATCACCCGCAGCAAAGATGTGCAAGTCAAAGATTGCGTCATCAAGACCGGGGACGACTGCGTCTCCATCGAGAATGGAACCCACAATCTTTTTGTCAGTAAAGTTGTTTGTGGTCCGGGGCATGGAATTAGCATCGGGAGCTTAGGAGATGACAACTCCAGAGCCGAGGTCTCTGGCATCACAATCGACTCGGTGCAACTATACGGCACCACCAATGGTGCCCGGATCAAGACATGGCAGGGAGGGAGCGGGTACGCCAAGGACATCACGTTCCAGAACATGGTCATGGACAACGTGCAAAACCCCATAATCATTGACCAGAACTACTGCGACTCCGCCAAGCCATGCAATAGAGGTCAGGGATCTGCGGTGGAGGTCAGCAATGTCGTCTTCAAGAACATTAGAGGGACAACCGTCTCCAAGGATGCCATCAAGCTGAGCTGCAGCCATAGCATCTCATGCTCCGACATTGTCTTGGAGAATATCAACCTGAAAATGGAAGGCGGCAAGGGTGACACGGAAAGCACTTGTCAGAATGCAAAATGGCAAGAATCAGGAACCGTTATTCCACAACCCTGCCAATTCCAAAACTAGCTAGGAGCCTGTAGAAATTGACAGGTTCTTGTTGTATCCCTGTACAAAATACAGTTGTATCAAAACTAGAATATTGTACAAAAAAACAAGCCATATACTTGTGCATACATAATGCAAACTACGTACTCTCTCCTATGTTTTACTAGAACATTATTGTAAATTCTCCCATATAAAGGAAGTTGGTATGCAAATATATATAGCAAATATGCCATGAAAAAATTACATGCCTCGCAGAAATTAGCAGAAAGAAATACAAATGACCAAATAAAAGTCAGAAAACAGGTGATTTGTTTGTAATGAAACAAAACAGAGTGAAGACTATGAGAACGCACATGAACTTCATTGACCGCAAGGAGGGAACCGCGAGGGTCGCCCCCCGCTCGGGCGACTCGGGCTCCCCAACCCTAGCCGCCGCCGGGGCCTAGCCCATCTTCCTCCCCTCCTCCCGCCGCCGCCGGAGGACGCCGCCGGCTTGCGCCCGGAGGCCGACGGCGGTGACGGGGGCTCTTCCTCCCTCCCACGTCCCAGGGGTGGCAGGACCCCAACATGCGTGGAGGTGCGGCCGATCTAGAAGCGACGGTGTTGGCTTCGACGGCGGCGGCGGTCGGCCCTGCCTCGGGCCACGGGCGGCTGCTGCTGTGGCTGGCCTGGATCGGGCGGCGACGCGATGCGGTCTTCGACGACAATGTCATCTGGCTTTAGATCGGTAGCAACGTCGAGGGCCTGGTGGACTGCTTGGCGGCACCCATGGCAGATCTGTTCTGGCCGGTGTAGCTAGTGATGGTGGTCATCTTCTTCGTCGGCGGTGGCCGGCCAGAAGCTTGGTGATCGGATCTCGAGATCCATCATCTAGTCCCGGCTACGAGTTGGGGAGACGTGGTTGCCGGTGAAAACCGAGCCGACGGCAGGCAATGGCGGCATTCTACGCCGTAACCTTGATGAAGGCATCGTTGTGTAACTACTGTCGACCCACTCGTGCTGCTCCGGGGGAAACCCTAGGATCTGGTGTTCCAGATCGGACGATGGCGACACTACGGTGTCGTTTCTCTCTTGGGAGCATCGTTTGTGGAGCAGCGCTGGAAGTCAGAGGCAGGAGGTGGAGGGGCTTCGTCTTGCACGAAGCTTCGGTGGAGATGTCAAGTCATGCCTGACCAACAGGTGCTACGCTTGGTCATGCCTGGTCGGCAGGTGCTACGCACGATAGGTCCTCCAAGGACTTCAAGTTGTGTCAGCTGGTGATACTTGACAGCATGGCGCTGAGGTGTATCAGTGGCGACCGCGACATGTTCAGCTGTTTGCGCGCAGGGAGGAGGTGTCGTTGGGCGCCGTGGTGGCGTCGACGATAGCTGGACCGAGCAAGGTTGATGCATCAGTACAATTCTGAAGATGGAGCGGTGGCAGTTGGCGGCGGCGGCCTCTGAGAGCACGCCGGACCAGTGTGTGCCCCAGACCTGGCAAGTGGCTAGGTTGAGGTCTCGGGTCTTTGATGTTAGGCTTGGCTGCGATGTCTGTTTGGTATTAGGCCCACACTATCTGCGCCCCTTCATCAACTGGATAGGTGTAGCAATAGTTTGTTGCTTAGATGGCGGTTTTAGTCTTACCGTTGTATTGATTTTGTAAGGTCTTGTGAGAATAATTAATAAAGTGGTTGTATGTATCGCCCACATGCAGAGGCCCTGGTCATCCTCCTTTTCTAGAAAAAAGAGAGGAGGAACTTGATGAAGTATCGAAGATGGAACTTGTATTCATGGTACGCAACTTCAATATGATGTGTTAGGAAGGTAGCTACCACAAGTACTACAGGTCCTAGCACCACATGTCATCAATCTCACAAGGAGATGGACCAACTCGGCCTTGAGGAAGAGAAATTTCTACAATTGTGACGAGCTCGATCATTTCATCACAAATTGCCCCCATCAAGAAAGAAGTCAGCTCAGACAAGTTAAACAAGGACAAGAAAGTGACAAGCCATGGAAACTTCAAGACACGTCTGGCCGTCAGCCGGGCTTGACACTGGCCCAACAGCTCGTTAGCTCCCCCTTGTCGGTCATAAAATGCGACGACTGCCGGCGGCAGATGGTGCGCCGAGTTTCGACGATGCCGTAACACTCCGGATGGGTGTTCTCCGAGTGCAAAAAAGATTGGGTGAGTGCAAGTTCCGATTCGGTTGTTCATCGGATTCATGTAATTTGTAGCTCATTGTTTGCCCAAATTAACATGTATGATGAATGCAAGTTTTGGTATTGGGAAGAAGATTACATCGATCTATTGATAGCGAGAAATTTGATAGATGTCCGTGCACTATACTTGTTAGAGTAGAGACTAGAGATGAGACTCGATGCGACCCAATATCGAATTCATCGAAACCGG